TGACATTGATTGGACTTTCACCAAAGAATGGTTAAATTCTAATGATCAGGACGCTCTGTGTAGCGCCAAACTCTTCAAACAACAAGGAAATAGAATTAAAAAATGTAATTTCATATATCCAACTATCGATATACAACAATGCAACTACCCTCGTTTATACCCTCTAGGCAGCATACCTTGCATTGAATGCGCCAATGCCCGCGACGATAATATGCACGTGGGCTTATGCAGGGAACACTCAAATCAAATCAAGAATATATTAACACGTGCTGCTCATGATTTACAAGAACTTATTATGAAGAATACTAAGGATAAAAACTTTACTGTGAAAGATATCATTAAAACTACTCCTCTTTTTGATATATCCTTTGTTGATGCCTTACCACAATCACATCCTGGTTATTTACTTATACACCATCTGGTCCCGAGTGACCTTACTAAAATTTTTAATATTTATATTAATGACAAAAAATTACGGTTTTCTTTATTTTCAAAATTTTTTTCGACTTTGATGTCTTCAATTGATACACTTATTTGGATACGTCGTGCTTCCTTAATTAAACAATGGGAAAATACTCTATCCATTACCAAAAACAAAAAAAGATTTTATAGAAAATGACATAAGAAAAGAGCTCCCTCTCATCCCGATCCAGGTGCTCCTGATCACAATCTATCTCCAAGTCGAAATTATAACTCTTGGCGCTTTGCCACTACTCCTTATTACAGGGAAGGCGGCTTTTATGACAATCACGTCCATATTCGTTGGACGACAAGCAATTATTTACATTCAGGACATTGGACTACTTATAGAGATAATATTGGGTTCAATGATATAGATTTATTTTCTACTTTACAAAATAGTTTCTTTAAAAATGTTTTTGACATTAGATAGTTTATCTTTTTATTTTTTCTTTTTTCTTGTCTTCTTTTTTTTCTTTTTTCTTTTTCTATTATCTTATTCCTGGTTTTTATTTTACCGGGCGGGTGTCCCTGGGAAAGTTCTTGGATCTGACTCGCGTTTACCTATTCCATAAAGGACAGAAATCGTCACGCCTCGGGGTGGCTTGCCGCGTAGTGATAGAATTATATATAGACTTATTTTATGTTCTCTGTGTAATTGAATCTACGGGTTCGCTTTTCTGTTTTCTAAAAATAAAAAATAAAAATAAATGATTAATTTTTTCCGTATACAGTACATTAGTTTTTTTAAAAAATGTTCAAAAATGAATTGCTTATTAAATATATGGAATTTGTATACGGAATCTATAGAAACGTACATAAAATGTATACAAAACGTATCCTTTCCGTATACATATTTCTTATAGGGGAATCTATCTATCTAATATAATAAAAAAATACATGTCGATCTTCTAACGTTTAGATTAAGTCTGTATAAATAATCTTGAATTGTGTAGCATGATTCAGTGCCTGATTTAAACTTAAAAGTTAAGGCCATTTATTTGATCGGCAAACGTATAGATTTTTTTAACTTAGCTAATTTTTGACGGTTAAACAAAATTTTATTGCGAAGATATTTTTTAAAAAATTTTTTTTGCAAACATATTTATTCAAAATAATCTTATTAAATGAAATTTTTTAAAATTTAAGTCCCACATTTTCGATTTTAAAGAAAAAAATCACTGTATTTATTTTTAATGAAGTGATACAATAAAAAAAACAATAACAATAAATAAAAAAGATAAGTAAATGACAATGATCAAGGAGAAAGATGCTAATAAAAAAAATGAAATAACAATGGAGTAATGGAAAGTAATACAAGAAGAAAGGGAGTAAAAAAGAGTGATGAGAAGTGATAGAAAACAAAAAGGAAAAATAGGACATGATGGATGATGAAAAAGAGTGATGGGAGACGAAAAGGAGTGATGGGAAGATGAAGAGGGGTTATGTGAGACTAAAAGGAGTGATTGTAGACGAAGAGAAGTGAAAAGGAGTGATGGGTGACGAAAAGGAGTGATGGGTGACGAAAAGAAGTGATGGGTGACGAAAAGAAGTGATGGGTGACAAAAAGAAGTGATGGATGATGAAGAGGAGTGATGTGAGACAAAAAGGAGTGATTAGAAACAAAATGGAGTGATGAGGGACGAAGAGGAGTGATGGGAGACGAAAAGGAGTGATGGGAGACGAAAAAAAGTGATAGAAGACAAAAGAAGTAATGGGAGATGAAAAGGAGTGATGGGAGACGAAAAGAAGTGATGGAAGACAAAGAGGAATGATGAAAGATAAAAAGGAGTGATGAGAGACGAAAAGAAGTAATGGAAGTGATTGAGAGACAAAAGAAATGATGGGAAGTAAATAGGAGAGAAAATGAAATAATGGAAAATGAAGATGTAATAGAAAATAATGGGAGAAAATAATGAGAAGTAGTATAAAGTGAAAAATAATGAGAGACAAAAATAAAAAAGTGATCATGAGGAAACAAAGTAAAAAATAAACCATAAAGTAAACAAAAAATGAAGTTAGTAAGAAATGAAATATAAGATAAAAACGAAATAAAAAAAAATAAAAAAAATACCTTTATTAATTGTAAAACTAAAAGAACTAAAATATCTGAAAAAAAATAAAATAAATTAGTGAAAAACGAAATATGAAACAAAAACAAAATAAAAAATAAAAAAATGAGTAAGAAACGAAATGTAAAGTGAAAAACAACTGAACCTTACTGGAAGAACTAAAGGACCTAAAAATGATGAAATAGAATTAAATATGTAAATTATATAAAATATATAAATTTATTAGTCTAACCTTACCATATTGTAAATATTTATTATCAAAATATAAGAAGTTTTATCCCGACGGTTACACCTAGTATAATAATAATAAAGTATTTATGATGGCCCATTTAACTATATTCGTATATATTCAGATCTATATTTACCTTTTTTTGAATTTCTTAACTGCCCAATTGTTTTTATATTCTATTATTTTGCAATTTAGATCATCAAACAAACTATAATGCAATATGGAATAATTTTCATAGTAGTCACATTTAAAAAGTTAATCTCAGCAAACAAGTTACTAACAAAACATATGGTTAAAGTAAGGAAATTACGTCTCAAGAAAAAATGCCAATTACGGAAAAGCTGCTAAAGCCAAAAAAAAAGTATAAGCACTGAGAAGCAAATACAGAAGCGACTTGGTATCAAGAAAAAGCTACTGTTGCCTCCTTCAATCATATAGCACAAAATTTTACCAATGGAAATGACTAAAGAACACAAAAAAAAGAAATAACTACTATATTAAAGTGTTAGCAATATTGTTTACAAATTTTGATAGAAATATTTTATATAATTCATAAATAGTAAAACAAAGTATCCGGACTTTTCACCGAAGTCCATTTCACTGAAACCCATTTCGCCACGCCAAAGCCATTTCTCCGAAGGGATATTTCACCGAAGGGGTATTTCGTCGAAGCCATTTTATCAATTGGACATTTTGCTGAATAGACATTTTACCGAATGGACATTTCGCCGAATGGACATTTTGCCGAATAGACATTTTACCGAATGGACATTTCGCCGAATGGACATTTCGCTGAAAATTATTTATTTCTATCGTTTTTATGCTAATTACATAAAGAAATCTTTTCTAAAAAAAATTTTGAATTAGCTGATTTTTATTAAGTTTATCTCGTTGTTTATAATACATTAATCTTTTTTTTTTACTTACTTTTTCGCGAATAAATGTTTTCAGTAAAATAAAGTTATTTATTTATCGCTTAACATTTAATATCAGTTACTTGAATGTTAAAGTAATAATATGCTGGAAAGAAAAAAAATCCTTAAAAATAATTTAAATTTTATTTTCAATAAAAATGTTAATCGCTACTATTTTCAGTGAAACGTCCATTGGCGAAATGGACAATTCGGTGAAATGGATTCGATAAAATGCACTTTCGGTGAAATGTCCCTTCGGTGAAACTTCCCTTTAGCGAAATTGCTTCGGCGAAATGGATTCGGAGAAATGTACCGTAACCGTAAAACAAACATACAAAACCAGAACAGATTTTTTTATAATTAATTCTTATGAGCGAAATCATTTAAATTTTATTTTTAAAAACTATAACTATTTATTACAATTTTTAAAAAAATAACTGAATGCTAAATGAAAAAATGAACACTGTAGTACTTAATTCCTATATAATAATAATGACATTAAATTTACAAAAAGAAAGATTTAAGATATTGAAAATCGAGAAAAAAAAAATAATCTCCATGAAATAAATATATTTGTCGGTAATTTAATTGTCAGTATAATGTACCTGTCGGTTGAATGATTGTCGGTAAAATGCGTACCTTGTCGGCCAAATGTTTGTCGGCCAAATGTTTGACGATAAATAATTGTCGGTAAGTAATTATTGTCGGTAAGCAATTGTCGGTAAATGTGTACCTGTTGGCCAAATGTTTGTCGCCAAATGTTTGTCGGTAAAATGATTGTCGGAGTTGAATGCGACGCATTATAATTTCTTTACGAAATACGAAAAAAAAAAGCTCGACGATTATAATAAAATTTTCAAAATCAAAATCAGTATCAATTTTACTCGTGTTACTCGTATTATGGATCTTTAAAATTTGGATGATGTTACAAACGTTTTTAATTCTGCTGGTAAATCACATACTTTATTCATATGCATAAAACATAAAAAATTAAATAAATAAAATGATTTTTATATTAAATTTGTGGTCATCAGAGTTACTCTTCCTCAATTAGTCAGACCGAAAATCGAATTTTAGAATCTAAATCTGTAAAACGACTAATCCCTTAATTATGGGAATCGAATCCCGAAAAATTTACACATGCTAAAAATTTACACATGTTGATTTGCGTCTATTTTAAAAAAAAAATGGAATTTTTTTCAAAAAAAAGTGGAAATACGATAATTCATGAATTCAGGAGACAGTTTTTTTCTTTATAAAAAGACCAAGTTACATTATAATGAAATATTTTATAATATTCCACAATTCCAACTAAATATTTTCAATATGAACCGAAATTACTATATTTTTGTTTTTATTTTATTAGTAACTACATTTTCCATGATCAATGCCGTTCCATACCAACTTCGTAAAAGAGAAACTAAATTTGATGCATGTGGAGCCGAACCAATCACTGTAAAAATCAACCCTGACCCTCTTGTTTCTGAAAAACCTGCGACTTACACTGGTTCCGGTACATTAAAATTTAATAATATAATCGCAGGAAAAACCATGCTTGTAATTGGATATAGTGATACGAGTAATAATCGCATAGGTGACCCCGATATTCAACATTTTACTGAGTCATTTAACGCAGGAGAACCATTTACTATTACTGCAAAAGATGTTCAGACACCTAAACTTCCCAAAACATACGGTATTACTGTTGCTATTCTTGATGTATCAACTAATCCAAAAGCCCCAATATATGCCTGTGCAACTGCTACAGTTGGAGGGAGTCTTGGAGAAAGAGCTTATCCTATTGCTGGTTTCTCTATCGCTGGTTATCCAATCGCCGAGCGTTCCTAAATGCTTTAATATTTTATATCAATTACTATTGCTGGTTAGAATGTATTAATCTTCCATGATACAAGAATTTATATATTTTATTTTTGATAATATTTAATATTAATTTTAATACAGTATATTAATTTAATCTATTTTTGAAAAGAACGATGTATTATTTTATTGGTTAATTTGTAAACTTAATCAAATTATGATAATTGAACAAACTAATTATTAAAATTTAAATGAAAAACCCACTATATTTAATGCCTATAAAAGTAATAATGACAATAAAAGAGTATCAAAATTGAAAAGATTTAAGACACAGTACTGAAATTTTTTTAATTCGAAAAAGCCACCGTTAGAACCGAAGATCCTGATATTTAGTAAACGTGTAATACGATTTGACTTATAAATTTATAAGAATTATGAAATTGCTATTTTAATATTTATTAAATGTCTTATATTTTTTTTTTTTAAAAAAAAGATTCCATAAAAAAAATAAAATTATTATAATGATGATATGATTGGTCAAATATTATTATTTTTTTTTAAGAAAACAAAATTTTTTTTTTTAAGCTAATTCTTGATTTTTTAACATAGAATAATCCTTATAAATTTACAAGAAAATATGTACCGTACATAATACCTCAGGTATTATACAAAATACATGATTTAAAAATTATATAATACCTGTGGGTACTTTGTGAGATACCGGGTATTATATGAGGGGGCCCTGGGGGTACATAATAATTTTAATCAGAATTAAGCTAAAGTTACTTGAATTTTGGGGGAGAGTAAAAATTTTATATCTAGTAAAATACCCGGGTCTTATAACGTGGGGTACTAACTTTGGGGATACTATAGGCAGTGCGGTACGGTATTTTTTTTTTTTTCAAATAGATTAAACAATGAATTATATTTAAATTGGTAAAATTATTAGAATTAATAAAATTTACATCTGAGATAGGTTTTAAGAAATCATTCGTTTTTTTTTTCAGATAAATTTTATATATATGAAGTTAAAAGAATTTTATCTAAAGTATTTTTTTTTTTTCGTCAAATGAACATTTCGCTGAAAATGGTAGCGATTAACATTTTTATAAAAAATATTCATCGCGTAATAAAAATAAAATAAAAATTAAATTATTTTTAGAGATTTTTTTTTTTTTCAGGATATTATCAATTTAACATTCGAGCAACTGATATAGTATTAATTGTTTAAAAGCAATAAATAAATAACTTTATTTACGGTATTCACGAAAAATTAAGTAAAAAAAAGAATAATCATAATTACTATGAAATTACTATGAAAAATAAAGTAATGATTAATTTAGTAAAATGCGATATAAATTGCCATTTACTTTTATTTATTTAATCAGAATAAAGAAATTTTATCTTATAAAAAAGAAAACTGTATAATTGGTTTAGTAAACAAAAATATGTTGAAAGGAAATAATTTTTTAAATTATTATCTATAAAAAATTTTCAAGGGACATCTTGTATTATTTATATTATTAATAAGGAATTGATTTTTTTCATTATTTTTGAATGATTCATGTTACTTGACTTTTTTTGGAATGGTTTAACAAATTACTTTTTGTAAAAAGTTGTTCAAGTTGAATCACAATACAGTTTTTTTTTAAAAAATTATCATTAAAGGGAACATTATATATAAGATTAACGTTAATGTGTATGAATATTCATATTACAAGACTTTTTTTTTTAAAATGGTGAAACTAGAATACAAAGTTCTAATAAAAGTAATTTCAGGAATGATTCAGGAATGGATAATTAATTAATTATTTGTAAAATAAGAAATTCAACCTTAGAGGGTTGTTATTTCGCGAATAAAATCAATCAAATAGAAATAGGAACGTATTCATGGAAAAATCCTCTTTTAAAAAAATTCCTATATTTTTTAATAAATGGTAAGGATTAAGTATTAAAATAATTTGTAATTTTATGACATTGTGATAAATAATGAATCATTTGATCAGTTTTTATAATCACTTTTTTTTTTTGATATTTTCACTAATGTACTAAGAGACAAAATTGGTTCAGCATACGTTTAACCAATAAAATTGTTCCAAATTATCACGTGATAACTTACGAAGCCTTTCGTACTCCTTTCGTCCATTTATAAATATTCTATAAAATGATTTCTCACGCCAAATATCATGCAATTTAGTAACATGAGAAATAAAAGCAACAAAAACTTGTAATAAATTTAAAATATGTAAATAATTTTTAAATATTCGTAGAATGGAAAACTAACGTAAATTTAAAAAGTATTAATATTTTAATAAAATAATAAGAATTCTTAAATATAATTTTGCTCATTTGTTTATTATTATTATAGAATTTTAACATTTATGGCTGAAGGCGGAAATACGATATTTTATGAAATTCAGGACTGCAATTTCTTTATAAAAAGAAAGTAACTTTGAGAACAAGTTATTGATAATTATATTATAACGGAATATTTAATAATATTTAAATATTTTCAAGATGAACCGAAATTTTATTTTTGTCTTGAGTCATGATATAACCGTACTTGGAATTGGATATAAGGATGAGGTCCCATAGGTATAGACTTTTAAGATCTATTTACTATTACTGCAGATGATGTTCTGACATCAAGAGTCTTCAAGCAACCATTAGAATTATTATTTTTTTTTTTAATAATAACTGAAATATAGTATAATTTGAATTTTTCTTAAAGCTTATTTAGAGTTTAAAAAAGATAATAGTAAGTTTTAAATAATAGTGATTTTTTTATTAAAAATTTATTTTCTTAATTTTTTAAAAAAAATTTAGTGTTTTATTAAATTATATATTTTAAATAAATTAAATGTCCGATTAAATTAATTAAATAAATTTCCTAAATAACTATTATAGTTTTCATAATTACTAGCTGTAACCCGTTCGCAGCAGGATTAATGAGTTTAAATCATGATGAAATTTCTGATATATATTTAGGAAACATAATTTTAATTTATTTTGGCGAAAGATAAAAATTTTACTATAATAAATAAATAAATATAATTTAAAAAAATCATTAATTTTATTTTTTTCTTTTGGCTGGATATTTTTTAAAAATCATTCATTCTAATTAAAAAAAATCATACAGTATAAGATATATTTTAAAAAAAAATATTTATTTCGATTGCATCGCAGAACTTGCCTGATCTAAACCTAAAAGGCAAAAGAATAAAAAAAAATCAACAAAGAAAAAGAAATATCGGTGCTTACCGTAGCACCGCCCCTTAAAATATTAGCTAATATATGTCGGTANGATAAAAATTTTACTATAATAAATAAATAAATATAATTTAAAAAAATCATTAATTTTATTTTTTTCTTTTGGCTGGATATTTTTTAAAAATCATTAATTCTAATTAAAAAAAATCATACAGTATAAGATATATTTTAAAAAGAAATATCGGTGCTTACCGTAGCACCGCCCCTTAAAATATTAGCTAATATATGTCGGTAGTATTATAAAAAAAAAAAAAATCCGACATTAACAGGAACTGAATTACCCCATTAGTATATCACGCGTTTCATGTTACACAATTCAATTTATTTACACGGGCCAAAGAATTTTTTTAATTATATAAATTATTCAACTTTCTATAAATAATATTAAAATGATATACTAGTGACAGCACAAAAAATTGGTATTACGAATATTTTTTTGGTATATTTAAGGGAATACTCTATCCTGTTTTTGCTTTAACAGAACCATAAAATTTTGATAATTTACGAGATTTTACAGTAGTATTTATTATTATGAATTGACGAGCTCCGGAATAAAATTTTTATACGTCCAATTGCCTTACAAAATAATTTTTAAACTTATTTCATATTTAGAATTCTTTTTACCCATTTTTGTTCAAATTTTCATTGTTCAAGTGATGATTTTTCCTTTCTTAATTTGTGTAACATTTTTGTTTCCATTATTACCTTCTATGATGAAATAACCGCTGGTTGATCTTATGTATCTCAACTAACTAAATTAGTAAAAAAATAATGCCGATGCATCATTTACGTTTCGATAAAATTTAAAATGAACTTTCCATAATAATTCAAATTACATAATATTTTCATAAAAATATAAATAAATATCAATAAAATACGTTCAAATTTTCCAAATTCATTATTGTTATCGATACTTAATTAATTAATATAGTAAAATGGAACTCGTAAATACAAATGATGAAATTTTTTTTGACCCAACACCAAGATTAAAATCTAGTCCTATACCAATTAAATTTATTTGTTTTAATAAAAATGATATAAATTGTATTTATTGTGGAGAAAAATATATTGTGACGCTTTTTTATTGGAATCAAAAATATTGCGAAAAATGTTTATCACGTTATATTAATGATATAACTGATAATAAAATATACTTGGACATACATTACACGGAATTGGAATGTAATAAACATAAGATAAGTAAGACAAAAGTACGACGAAGTATTCAAGAATGCTGTAGAAATTATATAAATATTGTATGTTTTAAACAAATATATTATTTTGGTAACTATAGTCTCAACTTATACAATAAGGTGATGGAAAGTGAAAAACATTGTATATTATGTGGAAAGTCATTAGGTAAAATTACTGCATGTGCAAGGCAATCAATACTATGCTCAGATTGTTATCGAATTTCTTTTGAATGTGTAAAGTCAACCTTGGTTAAAAAGCAAATTTTAATTCTTTACTTACCATGGTGGCTTAATATTTCTGAATGTAACATGTGTAGTTCAGAGTTAACATTTACATCAGATTGTCAAAAGAACTGTAAAAATTGTCTTATATCTTATATTGGGTGCAGATATTGTTTAACAACAAACATTATTTTTGGACTTACAGGTCAAACTCACTGTAAAAAATGTAAAAGAATATCACTCATTATAAACAGTAATATAGATAGTTATCTTATTGATTTCTTTCTTAATGATATTATATTTCATAACTTAAAGGACTATGATAATATTGCAAATATTGTAAAC